TATATATATATATATATATTTAAATGTTAATTGGTTCTAATAATTCAGAAGCAAGTTTCATTTATAAAATTGTGAAAATTATTGAGTATCAAATATTTTATCGGCAACACCAAAAAATAGAGGTTTGAAAATTCATAAGATCAGAAAAGATATATGAATATAGAAACAGTTTCTTTTCCTTGGCACTACAGCCCCAGTGGGCCTAGGCCTACCTCCATGAACTTCTCCGTTCACTTCGGTTTTTCTAGATGTTAAACTTTCAGTAGGACTCCTTGGGCGTGTGATCAGCTCGTCGCAAGGCCTCTACCTGCATAAAAACACAGAACAACGCACACACAGAAACTAAACATCCATGCCCTGAGTGGGACTCGAACCCACGAGCTCGATTTCCAAGCGAGCGAAGACAGTACATGCCTTAGACCGCTCGGCTACCGTGACCGGCGTAGAAAGTGTTACTAATGTAAATACATATTATTCTTTTATTAAATAATATCTGTACTACGTCCTTGAATATTGCAGTTGTGAGAATAATCAAGTTAACAGTCACTATATAATTACAATTAAAGTGTCAGTAATCAGGAGAATTTCTGCAGTTCTGTCTCCTCTCGAACATTTGCTGCAAGTACAGTACAAATTAAATTCAGTGCAGATTTCAGAGTATCAGTCAACGTTTAGTCAGTGGAGTCAGATTGATTGAAACCAGTATAACGATGTTCATTTCATTCTGTTCCCACCCAACCCATCCCACCCTTCTTGAAACATCTCTGTCGAAGTCTGAATGAATTCAAAGCAGGCTTCATAGTTTGCTGACTGCATTATCTGCATACAATTAGACACAGCCTCAGGTTCACTGCTAGTTCACTGGCCGACTCAAACTGTGCGCCTCCTCAGCGCTTAATTTCATGATACTGTTATACAGTTTCGCGTAGGTGAAAGCAGACACCTTCTGTCGTTAATACAGGATTCAGTGTAATATCCATTAATTACGATCCTCCCATAAAACCGTCGTTTAAGCATCAGCTTCTCACAGCAGAAGTCATGTCATATTACAAAGCAATCTACGTATTTGGGGTTTTAAACTCAACAGTGTTTCCTCTGAGAATCCTCATTTCCAATGACAGTCATTACAACACTTAATTAATGCCTTAATTAAGGCCATATGATATAAGGCTATGAACCAATGAATTATTCAGTATAGTATAAACAGACTGCACAATGAGGAGCTTCGTAACGTGTACTCTTCTCCAGGGATAATTAGAATGATCAAGTCAAGGAGGATGAGGTGGGCATATAGCACGAATGGGAGAGACGAGGAATGCGTATAGGATATTGATGGGAAAGCCAGAAGGAAAGACAGGGAAGACCAAGGCGTAGGTGGATGGGCAATATTAGAATGGATCTTAGAGAGATAGGATGGGATGGTATGGATTGGATAGATCTGGCTCAGGATAGGGACCAGTGGAGGGCTCTTGTGAACACGATGATGAACCTTCGGGTTCCATAAAATGCTTGGAAATTCTTGAGTAGCTGCAGAATTGGCGGCTCCTCCAGAAGGGCTCAGCTCCATGCGTAAGTAGTTAAGTAAGTATAACTAGACGTATAAGAGGAAATTGAACTCGGGTAATGCTTGCTACCATTCAATCCAGAACCCTTTGTCTTCTCCTTTGCTGTCCAAACAGATAAAAGTTAGAATATACAAAACTATAATTTTGCCTGTGGTTCTGTATGGGTGTGAAACTTGGTCTCTGACATTAAGGTAGAAACAGAGAGTGGGGGTGTTTGAGAACAGGGTGTTGAGGAGAATATTTGGACCGAAGAGAGATGAAGTGATAGGAGGTTGGAGAAAACTGCATAATGAGGTGCTTCATAACTTGTACTCTTCTCCAAGTATTATTAGAATGATCAAGTCAACGAGGACGAGGGGGCAGGGCATGTAGCACGAATGTGGGAAAAGAGGAATCCATTTAGGATATTGGTGGGAAAGCCAGAAGGAAGGAGACTACTGGGAAGACCAAGGCATAGGTGGGTGGACAATATTAAAATGGATCCTAGAGAGATAGGATGGGATGGTATGGATTGGATTGATCTGGCTGAGGATAGGGGCCAGTGGAGGGCTCTTGTGAACACGGTAATGAAATTTTGGGTTCCATACAATACTGGGAAATTCTTGAGTAGCTGCAGAATTGGCGGCTCCTCAAGAAGGGCTCAGCTCCATGAGTAAGTAAGTAAGGTATAAATAGATGCTTCGACGACGTAGAATTCTGCGAATATTATTATTAAAGGTTTCACGACCTGAATTATTAACTTCATACATCTGCAGCGATATACGCGTATTAAGGAAGATGGGAGAGAAAAGATTTTGGGCGTAACCGACCAGACGCAGAGAAAATACACTTTGTCAATGTAGGCGCTAGTGAGCTCGTAAGTCGCTTTTACTCGTATAGAAATAAATGGCATTTAGAAACTTCCTTGTTGTGGGGATTCACCGGAAAAAATAACATTTGTGCTCCCCTCTATCGGTGAGCAGGAGAAATGGGATGAATTCAATTGGGTCTACCACGTAATTGATACTAACCATAAATCTGAAAAGTCATGAGGGCATGAATTGTTCAAATCACATAAATAACACGATTTAGCACTCATAGGTAAAGTGAATATTGGTGTTGAATTACTTGATACAGAAAAGCAACTGTCTGTAATAGCCATAGCGTGCAAGTAGATAGAAAGTTGGCGTATGCCTATGCTTTCAAAAATATTGACTGTATTAAATTATTTAGTACGGTTCTAGGAATTTTCTGTATTTTTCTTTATTTCTTTGGAATTACCTGAGTAGCAGTGAGGACAGGATTAATCATTGTCGAATTCGCTAATTTAAATTTCATTGCATAGATGCTTCACCAGAAAAATAACTTACGAACCACCACTGAGTTTCTGTGAGTAATTAAAAATTCCAGGAATATTCGATATTGACTCAAGCAACTTGGGTAATGAGATAAAAAATTAATGAAGCGAGAAAAGAAAAATTTAAAAACTGTTATTTGTTACGAAGTACATAACACAACTCCTTCCTTAAGAGTGAAGCAGATGTTCGGTCACGTCGTCAAGAGAATACATTTATTCACCTTACTCTTCTCTCTTGCACTACATGTTTCAGCACTAAAGTGCCATCTTCAGGTGCTTTTCTATGTACGTCGAACTACTTCATTGCATGCCCTGTTGTCTTTATACTAAAATAACTAAAATATATATTCGTCATATATATTGATGAATTTTAAATATTAAAAATATTAAAACTGTTCAGGATTTGTCATCCTTATGTCGTATCTCAATACGCGAGTCACACCTATCTTCTTCTATCGGAGTATTCTTCCTACTTTCGTGTGTGTATTGTGCTTTGTGTTGTGTCTTGCTCCTGTGACTGCGTGTGTTATACTGCTGGGCCTGCTGGGTATGTGTGTGTGTGTGCTGTCTTCCTTTTCATTGAGTTATCTCAATAAAATAAACTAAAAATAAATAAATAAAATAACTCAATAAAAAGGAAGACAGCACACACACACACATACCCAGCAGGCCCAGCAGTATAACACACGCAGTCACAGGAGCAAGACACAACACAAAGCACAATACACACACGAAAGTAGGAAGAATACTCCGATAGAAGAAGATAGGTGTGACTCGCGTATTGAGATACGACATAAGGATGACAAATCCTGAACAGTTTTAATATTTTTAATATTTAAAATTTATCAATATATATGACGAATATATATTTTAGTATAAAGACAATAGGGCATGCAATGAAGCAGTTCGACGTACATCGAAAAGCACCTGAAGATGGCACCTTTGTGCTGAAACATGTAGTGCAAGAGAGAAGAGTAAGGTGAATAAATGTATGCACTGTAAGACGGTCAGAATAAATCATGGACATAAATCAGTGTAACAGGACGCTAAAATATAACATCGTCAAGAGAAATCTGCTGGATTTTATTTTCAGTGTTCAATAGGAACAAAAATCGGCTTAATGGAGATGTCGTTGAACTCATAAGACTTTTCTCCCGTAACGTCGCCGACTCAACGGGTGATGTACGTGAAAGATTGCTCCCTCGCTACAAGCTTCTTGTGTGGCCATTATACGTAGCTTTGATTGACAGAACCCCAGCAGAATCTGTCTCTTTTGATCCAGAGCCCTCATTTGCTATGTTCATACAGGCTGACCTAAGGGACCTGCTGACTCCCAGGGCAAGAAACAGCAGAGACAGCATAAGGAGCGCATCCACCAGAACTACAATCAGTCAGTTCCAGCGATGTGGTTCAGGTAACAAAGCAAATTTTATTCTGTTTGAAATCAAGAAGTTGATTCAATTTCAGTCCTTCAAAATTTACACTACTTTATAATTTAAAATTTCTATGAATAATTTTACGTAGGAGTTCGAATTGAAAAATAGAATTGTTTGAAGTTCATTATATTTTTTTTCTTGTCGTATTTAAAACAGATTCGCCGTAAAGACGTTTATTCTTAAAGTACACATGCTATTTTAAAGCTCAAAAATTATCCTTAACAGTTATTTAAACTGTTAAACTAAACATTGACAAGTAACATAAGTGTCAAACATACTTCACCACGCCGAAACAGTCATTCTTGAAAAAGAGAACAACTATTATTTGCTCAATTGGCCAAGAAACTACCAGGCTTTTACAGAAATTGAAGATTCATTATTATGTTCATATGTGCTTGCCACCTGTGCCAGATGAATCCAGTACACAGAATTACACCCCCCCCTTCTCTTTCTATTATTTATTTCTCTTTTATTACAGCTTTTTATGCAATCATGCTGGATTAATTCTAAATAAACTATAAAAACATAATTTTGCATGGTTATGTTTTCATTCTTAGCGTTATATTACATAGGATTATGTCAGAAAAGTTGTACAAAGTTATACAGTTATACAGAACATGATTGCATATTTCGAAAGCCCTATTGCAGTAACCTGGAAACTGCTGTAAAGTTTTAAAACAAAGTCATGTAAGCAGTCAGGTTTCGACCTCATGTGTTTCAGGGTCGATTGCAACGAGGCAGTGGAATACCGGAAGTGCCAATGTTGTTATGAAGGATTACAAACCAACGTACACATTCAACTGTCAACAAGACTCCACATCTCAGCTGTAATCGCAAGGAAAGTGCGACTAGCGGACAAGAATTTGTTACTCTGACTTAATATTCGGAAGACACAGAGTTCAGTCCCCTCGAAATCAGTTTTCACAGTGGCTTTAAGTTGCCCGAACACTGGAGTGAGCTCCAGCCATGTCCACCATCGCGACTGCCACCGATTTGTATGCACTGTCATCTAGTGTTGAATCACCGCTTTCTTATGCCATCAGGTGTAAAGAAGTTGAAGCTCACCAAAACACGACTCCTCTGACTGTGACCAGAAAGTGCAATTATCACTTTTCTTTTAGCATGAGAAGTGAAAGGTAAAGATAAAATTATTCCTGGTGTTAATTAATTAAGCATTACGCGATGAAGACATAAGGCGGAGTGGAGATGTAGCTCCACCATTCTTAACCTCGTCACTAGTTTGAGGCGAGTGGTATCTTCACACTCCTGCCGCTTTACACCTGGGGAAACAGCTCCCGGTATTCGCTTGATAGACTAGATGAGTTATGGAGAAGAGAAAAATCCCTTGCCCATACCGGAAATCGAACCCCAACTATTCGATCTTCGGGGCCGTAACCCAGTCGCTACACCAACTGAATTATTCCTGCAAGAAAGCTGAAGAAAACACGTAAAGGTAGGGCGAAATTCAGTGCAATATTTCTGTATGAAAGTCACTTGTAAACGCAACTGTTGCGAGGGCTATTGTCAACCGTGAAGTAAAGCTGTCTGCAGGCTTCAGCCAATAAGCTGTTTCCCCGGGGTAAAGCGACCGAACCGTGAAGCTGACCACTCACCTCCATCTTGTGCCGAGGTCAAGTATGGTGAAGGCATACCTCTGCTCCACCAAGTTGTGGTGCTTAATTAATCACAGGACCAACTTTACGTTTAGGTTTCATGTTCTAGTATAAAGTAGCATAAGAGTGGCTGCACTTCTGTGAGGCCGAGCAGGCTGGTGTCGCGGTAACTGTGCAGATTTGTGTCCTAGAGGTGCTCGGTTCAAATCCCAGCAAGGGGTGTGGCTATCCTGACTAACATTTCTCAGTCCCTCATTTGAAATGTCGGGTGGTCCTTCGCCTAGGTGATGGCCGTTTCCTTCACAAATCCTTCCCAATGCAATATCCGTCGAAAAGCCATCCCTCGTCGTAGGGTATCAAACGATGTAGAAGAAAGAAACCTATGAATAAAAACGCATATTATGCACGTCTTGTCTTTTGTTAATGTTATATTTCAGAACCCTGTTGCACTGTATACATCTGATGTAGGGGTTTGTTATTCTTTTATTGGACAATATTTCACTATGTTTCGGCCTAATTGGCCATCTTCAGATGTGCATGTTGTTGCAGGTAAGAATTCTGCTGCTCATTGCTTTTTTTTTATTGAGCTATTAGGTTCCAAACGGAAATGTTTGGTTAAAGTGGCTACAAATACGCAGCGGATTTTCTTGAAAGGTTTGTATCGTTCAATAAAAAATTATTTTTCACTTTCTTTTAATGCTAGTGGGGTGGGACTCAGTCCCTTGTACTACGGCCACTTCTGGCCTATTGTACCAGCCCCAGATGATAGGTGAGGGTGATTGTGGAGCAATTGGTGGAATGAAGATTGGCAGGGGAAACCGAAGTACTTGGAGAAAATCAGCCCCAGCGCCACTTTGTCCACCACAAATCCCACTTGACCAGACCCGGGATCGAACCCGGGCCGCCGTGGTGGGAAGGCAGCGACTAACCGCTTGAGCTATGGCGCGGCACTCACGTATGATAGTAAGTAATACAAATTACGTCACTGTATTTAACTCATTCCTTCAGCAAATTTCCGATCCTTTCCGAACTATGAATGCTTAATACAAGTTCCATCTTGTGGGATATCACTGTGCAGACCGGTGGAACATCTACATTTTCTTGGCCAAAGACTGCTAAGCATGGAGCCTGAAGCGCACATAAAGCAGAGCTTGTTTCTTAGGTAGCTTACTCTCCGATCATGAAGATGGAGGAGATATAGGGTACCCAAAAGAAACTGAACTAATTTTTTTGTGGGCAGAGCTTTTGTAATACCGCGTTTTGCCGCTATGAGCACATAGAGCTAACATTCCTGAGTCGACAAGCCGACTACCGTTGCTTCAGAAGGTAAGGACTAGTTTCGGCAGAGTTTATAGTGACAACTGTTTTGTGTGATCGTCGTTTTTGCAATGGCTGATTTTCGTGAACAGCGTGCGGCGGTGAAATTCTGCTTTTTGCTCGGGAAAAGTGGAACAGAAACTCTTGAAATGTTAAAAAGGGCGTACAAGGACGATGCTATGGGGAAAACTCAAGTGTTTGAGTGGTTTTCCCGTTTCAAAAATGGTGAAATGTCAATTGATGACAAACCTCGTTCTGGTCGTCCTTCCACGGCCCGAACACATGAAAATGTTGAAAAAATTCGTGACATCATCAAGGAAGATCGACGACGGACCATTGAAGAAATTGTGGAGCTGTCGGGAGTGACTTGGAGCTCAGCGGCCAGATTTGTGGCAGTCGGGTGACTGGTTTTTCCATCATGACAATGCCCCTGCTCACACAGCCCTGTCTGTACGACAATTCTTGACCAAAAATGGTATGATCCCTGTTCCTCACCCTCCATACTCACCCGACCTTGCCTCGTGCGACTTTTTTTTGTTTCCTCGAATGAAAAGAGACATGAAAGGAAAAAACGACGGAGGCGCTGTCAAGCATCTCAAAAGATGAATTTAGACAATGTTTTGAAAAATGGAATAAAAGACTAGACAAGTGTATTAGTGTAAGTGGAGAGTACTTTGAAGGGGATTGAAGGTTTGTGCTTAAAATTTGAATAAATAAGTTTAAAAAAAATAAGTTCGGTTTCTTTTGGGTACCCCTCGTATTCCTCCGAAACATTGGGGACCTTTCACTGGACTACAGGGCATTATGTCCTAGAAGACAAAACCTAAAATCCCACATATCCGTACACTTACGCCAAGGGCACAGCAAGGAAACTTGCAACCGCAATTTCCGAGAATTTTTATCAGCCTGAGTTCAACACATGTTACTGAATGGAGCAGCGTAAATTGAGGAAGCGGCAACGCAACTCGCGGAGAGACTGGGAAGCTCAACTTCCAGGCAACGGAGCAAGCCAGTCTTCTCACAATTGCGTTGTCGGGTGGTTTCCTAGTGTCAGCTGTTCCGTAACGCGCTTCAGTGATTCATTGGTTTCTTAAGATGGCACGAAAGTCTGACAAAGCTGCTAATTTTGTTTTTGTGCAATTAATTGAGCAAGAGCCTGGTACGTATGACTAACGTCACCCAGACTATGCTAGGCATGACAAAATTGATTAGGCTTGGGAAAAAATTTCTCATGAGACGAAGGAGTTTGGATCCAGGTTAAATTCTTTCGAAACGATACAAGCGCTTCTGTTCATATAGTCAGCCTTGTTCCACATTACATGTTTCGGTTATATACGGCCATCATCAGGTGTCTTCTGTCGTCCTATAATTGTTGCACTGTATGTCAAAATTTCGTATCGCGTGCGAACGCGTTATTTTCCGATCAAAAGAAATTCACCTTAATTGAAACATCCCAGTATTTCCCTTATGATCGTCGTCCTCTCTTCTCACACCATCGCAACTACCACATTTTCTTTATTGCTAGTGGGGTGGGACTAAGTCCCTTGTACTGCGGCCAATTTTGGCCTATTGCACCAGCCCCAGATGATAGGTGAGGGTGATTATGGAGCAATTTGTGGAATGAAGATTGGCAGGGGAAACCGAAGTACTCGGAGAAAACCTGCCCCAGCGCCACTTTGTCCACCACAAATCCCACTTGACCAGACCTGGGATCGAACCCGGGCCGCAGCGGTGGGAAGTCAGCGACTAACCGCTTGAGCTACTGCGCGGTCTTACCACCATATTACGACAGGATCAATATTATTATTTTCCATTGCAGAACTAATAAAACACAAGTTTTCTCAATGTGCGCCTGCCAATCTGGAAAACAGTTGCCTGCTTGAAATCGACGATATTTTTCGGAAATTGCGGTGACGATATTTTTCGGAAATTGCGGTTGCCAGTTTCCTTGGTGTCCCCTCGGCCTTAGTTTATCGTCCACGTAAATCCACAATATTGAAACGCAGGTTCATTAACGATCTCCAGCAGCCTTTCCTAAAGAGTTTCTTTTTCAGTAAACACGATCCTCTTTCGTTATAAACTGTAACAACACGTGATACTTTTCAGAGTCTGTCGGTCACCGCAAAGTACATAAGGTATGCCGCTTTCTGCAGCCAGCAAAGAGGTCTCCCCGTTCCGCTCACAGCCGGCTTATCAATCTTATCATTATCCATGCCGTTGTATGTCCTTTTGTAACGTTGCCTCTCGTTATAACAAAGAGATTTTTTCGGAAAAATCTGCCTGACAAAGAAGAAAGAGGAGGTTAAATAGGAGATACCTTAGCGAACTACCCACATGGACGATCTCGTCGTATGACACACGTTTCAACAAAACCTTGGGAAGTATTCCAGTTTATTACACATTATTGATTTTCGAGTCATCAGGTCCTCTCCGAGGCGTCAGAATAGCCAGACCTTACACGGAGGCTGTAGGGGACAACAGAACTTCCGCTTAAGTTTCCTTTCCCTCAACTGCGCATGCAATACATACGTGACGTTCGTTTTGCGGAGAGTCATGCTTCTTCAGGGTTCTTTCCACATTGTCGCAAATACTCATATGGAACACGTAGTTTTGTTATGAACAAAACCACTCTCCAAATAAAGGCAATGACAGTGACGACGGCCATGATAATGATGAGGATGATGACAGTAACAATAATAATAATTCAATTATTTTTTATTTACGTCATTACTCTACAACCCGAAGGCCTCGACCCCTCAGAACCCTATGGGCCTCCACTGCCTGTTACAGAGATAGCTTCAAATTTACCTTATATACCGTTATGAAAAGTAAACTAATGAATAGGCAATGCATTCAGTCTTGAGGAGGCTTCACTCTAATTTGTAACTCATTTAATTTCACTGCTGAAAGTTGCGCTCAAATATTATGTTGTGTGCTCTAGTAAGGGAACGTTTGTACGGGGTGTTGATGGTTGTGAAACATAAAAGGAGTCGTAAAGTGTTCCGGGATTCTGTGGACGGTAGTTGAATGGCGGTCGGAGAGGCACAGTACACAACGCCATAAAATCCAATCTCAAAGTACTATGAATTTGGCATAGTAATTAGTCATGTAAGACAGTGTTTCTCAACCGCCGGGCCGCGGCCGTGTGCCGGGCCCTAACATCAATTATACTGGGCTCTCATCCTATAGAAAAAAGAATTTACCTGGCCTCGGTCTGACAAAGGTTGAGAACCACTGCTATAGGCGACTCACGCGAGCTGAATATAGGAGACTTGTACTGTGTACTAAAATCCACAAGCATCACTGCATTGTCTACATTACGGGCTGAATAACGAACAGTTATTGTTCTCTAGAGACCCGTGGTTTTGTAAAGCAACGCAGCGCAGTAAGGACTGAAATCCATTCCAAATTGGTTAACACTTGTTAATTTATACGCCTAATTGGCAGATGTGCCGGTCACGGTAGCCGAGTGGTCTAAGGCGTGCACTGTCTTCGTTCGCTGGGAAGCCGGGATCGTGGGTTCGAATCCCACTCAGGGCATGGATGTTTGTGTACAGGTAGAAGCCTTGCGACGAGCTGATCACCCGCCCAAGGAGTCTTACCGTATGTGTAAGATCTAGAAAAACCGAAGTGAAGGGAGAAGTTCATGGAGGTAGGCCTAGGCCCACTGGGGCTGTAGTGCCAAGGAAAAATAAAATTGGCAGATGCATGTTCCGCTAGTCTTCCTTCTAGCCTTCATTTATTCATACTACACTGACAGGAATGGACAGAACATTCAAAGAGAAGATTCAAACTGCAGTACAAGAGGGAAGATGAGACTGTCTTCAGACACTGCAAAAATTTGAATGAAGCCAAGAATGTAGGGAATCCGTACTTGAAATGAAGGGGTCATATTTTAATAATATGCCAATATTCTGTAAATATCTGCTTCCATCTTTTTCACAATTTCGTTTCATCGCGTCCTCTCCTAAAGCTTTAATAAATAATACATAAAAGGTAAAAAAAAAAAAAATTAGCTAACCCTGTAACTGGCCATAGAGGCCCATAGGATTCTGAGACGTCGAGGCTCCC